TATCCAATAAAATCTTTGTCGTATGTGACTCAATGTCTTCCTAATTCCGAGATGTCCTCCTGTTAAACTATCATGGGATTGACGCAACACAACTTCCCGTAACTTCCTCGGTATAACTCTTTGCCAAGTCGTCACTTTCCCATCTGTAGTTTCCCATCTCCGGACAAGAATACAATTTTCAAGCTTCAACTGGTCCCATTGTGCCCAATAGTGCTTTGTCACAGGGCTTAGACTAGACACCTTCACCCAAGCAGGGTGCAAAACACTTGCTTTTAAAAAATCAATCACTGGCTTCAAATCTTGGCCTTTCTCCTGTTCTGCCTTGATATTTATATTTGGTTCCACTTCATCATCATCAACTCTTTCAGTACGCTTAACTTCAGCTTGATGACACCTAATTAGTTCAACCTCTCTCTTAACAGTTACCGGAACTTGGCCTTTGTTATTCCCAAACATCATTTTATCAAAATCAATTACAAACTTTCTCGGTAGTAGATAGTCCAATCCTAAGAGGCATTCATCTTCAATGTCAGCCAAGTATACTTCCTGTCTCTCCTTTGTGCCCATGAGCTCAATAGCCACCCACACTGGTCCCCACAACCTTGCAGAATGTCCTGTCACACCATAAAGCTTCTGTATGGCTTCTGGTACTCCTTCGTGATTTAACACTTTGATGCTCACAAGGGTTTGCTGAGACGCAGAGTCTATGACAAAGTTGCACCTTTGGCCATCAAGCTTTCCTATCACATAGACACTGTGTGTGCTAGGCATTTTACACTTAGCTGTTGGGACTTTCACGATGGGGATTGGTGGGCGTCGCTCAACACCAACCACTACTGGTCTCCTTGAGGCCGACTTGTTGGTAATATTCTTCCTACACTGGCTCCTCAAATGTCCGTGCTTTCCACAGTTCCAACAACCTTTCTGGATAAATTCTGCAGGTCATGTGACATCTGCCAAAGGACAATATCTAGAAGGAAGGTAGCCAAAGTGTCATTGGTGAAGATACCTCTCATAGAAGAGCCTTTCAGCAGAGTAGCTGTGGACTTGATTGGGCTACTAACGCCTGTGTCTGACAAGGGAAAATGGTATGTTCTAACAGTAGTCGACTTTGCGACACGTTATCCAGAAACAATGGCATTGCCAAAGATAAAGACTGAGAAAGTAGCAGAAGCTTTCCTGGAGATATTTTGCAGAATAGGCATTCCGAGAGAAATCCTGAGTGATAGCTCAGTTTACTTAAGAACTGATGCAGGAAGTGTGCAGACCCATCAGTACTCGGCAACTCTTTACCACCCCATACAATCGTAAATGTAAGCACAAAACAAATGGGGGGATATTTATAGAATAGAGGACCAGAAGGGAGTTCTGTACCGAATCTATCAAGGCAGTTATACTGGGGAAGTTAAACAGATCATAGTACCAACAGTATACCGAGCTGAAGTAATGAAGTTGGCTCATGAATCAATTGTGGGAGGACACCTAAGAACAAAGAATACAGCAGACAGAACCACCAATAATTTCCATTGGCCGGGAGTAATTGAAGATGTGAATAGCGACTTTCTCCCAGGCATTGCCCCAAAGTTTCTGCAGGGGCTTGATGTCTTGTTTACTCTTCTTTTCTTGAGCTCTGGTGGTGACAGCAGATACTTCATCAATCTTCTTTCTGTCTAGTTCCTCAAAGTTTCTACTACCTGGTATGTTTCCTATCACCAAGTCGTGTATTGGTTCCTTGATTCCACATGGCCTCAAGGTCTCCCACATAATATGGATTATCCACCTTTATTTTTGCTATGGGAAATTTTCTCACTGTCTCATCAATTAGCACACACAAGCGTACCTTGCCTGTCATCTGACCATTGGATACTAAACTGGTTCTAACTACTGCACTACTTACGTAGTGTCCCGTAGAACCTTCACTTTCTTGTCCCCAACATAGCCTTCACATATTGGCATATTATGATTTGTTGGCATCTCTTGATATTTATCACAAGCTCCCATCACTATTGGCACTGTTGGTCAATTCGAGCTGATCATTAGTCGTGCACTGATCAATCACGTTTTCTTATATTGAATTTGACAAGTAGTATTGATTCTCTTTCTTCTGGCAGCAGCATACATAATGCCAGTCACTCTTTTCTTGTTTCTTACCAACACTGTCTTTTTAAGCGGCCCCAGCTGCTGTATGTTGAGGTTTCTCCTGTTGTTTGCTGGTAATGGACTTGCACTCTTTTGCGATGTGCCCCATTTTATAACAAACATAGCATCTCTTTTCCCTTCTGTCTTTTAACCTCCTCTCACCTTGGGTAAACTCATGCTTCTGGTCTGCCATTACTGATTTCAAATGTATCTGGACATTCTTGGACTTGCCAGTTATACTACCTCCATGGGCTTCCATATACTGTTCTGCCAGCAATCATCTTGTCTACATCTTTTGGTGCTCTCTCCTTTAAAAAGAGTGACATGTCAGTTGAACACGGGGTCATAAACTGTTCACGTACTAATAGGTTTGCCAGTCCCCCAAAAGTACTTTCACTCATGGCTATGTCAGTCCATCTGGTGAAATATCGCCGCAGACGTGCTACAAACTGAAATACAGTTTTCCTGTATCGTGTTTGACTCCTCTGAACTTCCGACGAAAACCTTCTTCAGTAAGATAATATCGTTTCAGTAAAGCTACTTTTAATTTGTCATAATTCATGACATCTTCTGACGTCACGACTGCATATACTTGTAGGCCTTTTCCTGTGAGAAGTGGGCTGAGACAGACTGCCCAGTCGCCTTTGTTCCAGTTCTGACTTTGGGCGAATCTTTCATATCTCTCCAGGAACGCATCCATGTCATCTTTATGTTCATCAAATTTGGGCAGCTTGGGTCGGCTAGCCCTGACTCCATTGCCATTCTTGGGTTCTTCTTCCTTCGGTTGGGTGAGTTTTGCTATCTCAATTTGTTACTCATTCATTACCCATTCAAGCCGTCTCCAGCCATTATTAGTCTCAAAGTGGGTTCCTCGTCATCGAATTATCTCAATTTGTGCTCTTATTCTATCTATTTCTAGTCTCTCCTTTCTTTCTTTTTCTTATTTCTCAATTTGTATTCTCATTCTCTCTATTTCCAGTTTCTCCTTTCTCAATTTATTTCTTCTGTTGTCGTTCTTCTATTTCCAGTTCTTGTTGTTGTTTAACAAACTATCATAATTCACTGTTGAGATCCTCTTTCTACGCATTTATCAAAATCTGTTGACATGGTTATATAGCGCAATTTTAATCTCTATACCATTTTTATTACTACTACAGTTGTGCATACATAGGTAGGCCTACTTATTTCCGCTGTCGTTCACGTTTTCTTCTATCGCCGTTTACCACTGTATAATCCTGGCTGTCTCGCCAATTGTCAGAATTTAAA